TAAGATATTCATGTTGTTGTTGTTTCATGAGAATTCTCGAAGATAGAAAGATGCATAGATGTAAATTCAACTTTGAATATTTTAGGCATTTTAACTTGTAGAATTTTAACTTGTATCATAAATTTTGTAATTGTTGTTATCTATATCATCAATTTCTATATGTGCAATTTATATATATATATATATATATATATATATATATATATATATATATATATATATATATATATATATATATATATATATATATATATATATATATATATATATATATATATATATATATATATATATTATTGGAATGAAGCTACCAAATATGGAGCATAAAAGATAATTCTGAAAACCTGGATCAAAATATTGGAATGAAGCTACCAAATATGATAAAAATTCTGATTAAAATAGATAATTTATTAAAAAAAATTGTAAATAATAGACAGCGCTTTAGGAGAAAAGCACTGTAAAAACTTAAAAAAAAGCGCTGCCTAAAGTCTGAAAGCGTTGTCTAAAGTGGGGGAATAGACAGCGCTTTCAAAGGAAAGCGCTGTCTAAAGCCTATCTGGAAAAAATTACAAAGTGTTGTCTAAAGCCCAAGCGCTACTAAAGAGGTATATAAAAAAGCGATGTCTATTCTAAAAGCGTTGTCTAAAGTGGACATAAGGCAGCACTTTTATGTTGAAAAAAAGTGTTGTCTTTTCTTTTAGCAGTGCTGCTTTAGGCAGCGTTTTAAAGCGCTGTTAAAGGCAAAAAAAAAGCGTTGTCTTTTCCCTTTTTTGTAGTAGTGTGAAGAGCGTAAGATGTTTCAACAATCATTAATGGAGACACTTAAGTCTATGGGTTTATCACAAAGTACAGATAATATTAAATGCATTGAAAAAATGGAAATTGTCGATGGAAGCAGAAAAGGAAGTTGTTCAGCTGCAAAAGGAAGCACAAAAGGAAGCACAAAAGACGTGGAAGTTGATGATGTTCAGAGATTGTTACTCATAATTTTGAAAATGGATGATAACCATTTGGAAATACAATTAAGTCATTGTGCGAGTGTCTCTAATTTTTATATTTCAGCTAAATGTATCAGAGAGTTATTGGTGGGTTTAGGTCATTGGCTTGACGTGTCTATTCTGCAAATTTGGTGCACGTAAGTACATTTTATTGTTTTATTAAAGTCAATCTCTATTAATATGTTATATCTCTCATCACTTTGATTCTAATGTTTATTTTAAAATTATTCAGGTATATTCATCATGTATGTCTTGAGAATTCCATTTCAGAATTATATGGATTTATAATGATAATGATAATGGAGCGAAATCTCAAGAGGATGTTAAGAATTACGTACTAGAAAAGTTACGTGATGAAAACAGAGTGTGCCACTTACTACCATTAATTCATGGGTACGAATTTTTATGAAATTGTGTTTTATATTATTTAATTTTGATAACATATATATTTTATGTGACTTTTCTGTTTCCACACACACGTACATGAGACATTGGCAATTAATAGTCATGTGTCCAAGAGACAATTTAGTTGTCGTATTTTGTTCACTTCATCGGGAAATTGACTAGAACACGACGAAAGTTATTACAAAGTAAGTTTATCTTTCATGTGACTTTCATTGGCAATTAATAGTTATGTGATTTTTCATTGGCGAGTAAATTTAGTTATGTGATGTTTATCTTTCTGTATTAGTTTTTTTGGGATTCATCAAATGGCAAATGGAAATAGAAAAAATGTTACATGGCTTCATCCCAATGTAAGTGTGATGTAAATTGTAATTCTATAGTTAAATTTATGATAAATATTCACTAATTATGTCATTCAATTGTAGACAAAACAACAACATAACTCTAATGATTGTGGATACTATGTGATGAAAAATATGTTGGATATTGTCTCTGCCAATATAACCGAGAATTGGATGCAGATAATAAAAATAACTTTACTTTGTTATTTACTTTTTGTTTTTTGACTTAATATGAATTTTTAAAGAATAACTCTATATTGTTATATTTATGTATTATAGGTATTTGATGACCCAACAGAATTAACACAAGATGATTTGTATGATTTGAGACTCCGTTGGGCAAAATGTTTCTTTGAGTTATATAAAAATTAAGTTTATCTGGTGAGTTTTATAGAATTGTCTAAGTTGTGGTTTTTGCACATAATTGTTATTATTGAGTTTTTGCACATTACATGTGGTTTTTGCACATGTATTGAGTTTCTTGATATTTTTTGTTGATGTTAATTGTTATTATTTATTGTCAGACAATGTGATTTTGGTGGTGTCTACCGAAGCTATAACTCATCTACTTGTGGATTTTATAATGGTAATTCAAGTTTGGAAAATCACTTATAAATAATTGAATATTTTTGTATGTTTTGTGAAGAATATATATTTGTAAGTTTGTTGTGAGTTTGTTTGTTGTGATACAATACAAGTTTGCAATACAATTGTTCATTTTGTAAGTTTGTTGTGAAAAATATGAAAATATCGACCTAGATGTGGTCTATGTGATGTTGGAAAGCTATGACATATATATAGCGACCTAAATATAGTCTGTGTGATATTGAAAAAATATGAAAAAATGGGTACCAATTTTTTTTTACAGTGAATCATCCAGAAAATAAATAATTTATTCTAAAAAAATTGCTTACATTTTACATGGTCATTACTCCTAACCGATGTAAAAACTTTCAAAACTGTATATATTACATCGGGCTTAAATGACAACCGATGTAAAAAAAAGGACTTTTTACATCGGTCCACACGTTGCACCGATGTAAAATGTTGCGTCAATTTTTTATAAAATAATGTTATAATTGTTTTTTACATCAGTCTTAGATCACAACCGATGTAAAAAAGGGACTTTTTACATCAGTCCACACGTTGCACCGATGTAAAATGTTGCGTCAATTTTAAAAAAAGTAATATTATAATTATTTTTTACATCAGTCTTACATTATAACCAATGTGTTAACTGTCTTTTTCACATCGGACCCAGAACCGATGTAAAAAGTCACTGATTTACTATATCGCCTGGCTTTACATCAGACTTAGAACCGATGTAAAAAGTCAATTTCGTCCGATGTAAAAAATCATTTCTGCACTAGTGAATTATCATCAAAACTTTTACTAAGAAGTAGAACCAAACTATATTCTAATAAGAATAACGTCAAAATATAACAAGAAAGTGGTCCATGAGAGTTCATTCTAGGGGACTCGATTCTTAAAAGGGTATACATAGGGAAAAAAAGCTTTTAAAGGAAAGCTATTCTCTAATTGAAGGATCTATATTGAATCATAACCAACACCAATTGAGGAACCTACACCTTAGAATCACTGTTGAAAAACCAATTCCTATAACATGTAACTAAATTGAAATAATTACAGTTTGATAAGTTGATGAATGCAAAAATAACATAAACTATGTGTTTATAATTCTTGTGCTTTATTCTATAATCTTTCCACATAACAAGTTTGACCACATCCTTGAGCCTTATCAAAAGTCAAAGAAAGATGTGCGGCCTACTGCTATTAAGGGAAAACAAAGGCAATGCCTTAAACACCACTACGACTATGTAAGGCAAATAAAAGTGGAAATAGGTCAGAGCGTCGATAAGGATCTATGTTCTGGTCTACAAAAGTTTAGCTCAGATCATGTTTTTTCTTTAAATAGAAAAGATTAAATTTTTTTATTAATCTATTTAATTAAAAAGATTAAGCCTCAATTCATAAAAAAAGCCTTTTAAATTTATCAGGTTGGACTATTTAAATAAATATGAATAATTTTTTTATTATTATTATATTATATTTTGTATTTTGAATTAAAATACATAACAAAATTTGATTATCTTGGAGAAGTTGTGAAAATAAGATAAAAACATCTTATAAACAATGCCGTAAGTTATTTTTTTAAGTTCTCTTAAATAAATAATCTCACAATATTTATGCTCATAAGTAAATTAAAATAAGTCAATACAAACAAATTTTTAGTCTCATTAATCTTTTAATTTGTTCTTTTATTTATATATTATTTGAATTTTTTATTTATATATGTTTAAAATAAATAGGCTTTTACATAGGCTAACAAGTTAATTAGATATTCGAAAAGGCCAAATTCATGTTTAAAAAATAATCTTATGACAGACTACGGACCAAAACACAATTATAATGGTCTAAAAATTCGGTTTGTCTGGAAATGTTCTCACAAGTTTGACTAATGTATTACGTTTTTTTATAAAAAAATTAATATATATCAAAATATTGATTTATGGGATAAGAATTTTTTTCATTTTTAAAAGAAATTGAAAATTCTATTACAATATATATATATATATATATATATATATATATATATATATATATATATATATATATATATATATATATATATATATATATATATATATATATATATATAATCAAATAAATATTAATTATGTATGATATATTTTAAATATGCATGTTTTTTAGCCACAAAACTATAAATAAATAAAATGGAGAACTAAAGAAATAAAGAGGATGTATTTATTATCCCTCCGAAAACCAACAAGCAAGATTGATTCTTCATTGCCAATACGACCATAATATAGACACATAAAAATCTTCAAAAATTAATGATGCAGTTGTGCTAGATAAAACTATATACTTCATTGTAACTATTATAAAAAATAAAATAAAAAATTAAATCTTGGTCATATTTATAATGAAAAAATATTAAATTTTTATTAATTAATATTTGTATTATTATTATAATACATTTAATTTAGTTTAAAAACATTTAATATTGATAATTGATTATTCATCAAATATAATTAAAAATATTATAGTAAATTTTATTTTAATTATATATATAATTAAGAAAATTAATTACACATAACTAATTTTCTTAATCAATATTATGAAATTAATTAGTAACAACCTTATACAAACTTGACGTATGCATCATAAAAAAGAAATTTAGGAAATTGAATAGCAATTCTTTCAACTATGCATGCTATAAGAAGAAAAATGATGATGGTAAAAGTGAAGAAAATTTCTGTCGTGGTCGAAACTTAGTAGAAACCATGTAACCTAATCCTAGACAGAGTACACAAAGTCCTACATCCATGGACTTCCTCAGTACTTGCAAATCCATCTCCAAGTGAATACACGCTTCTTCAAGTTCTTCTGCATGAGTATCTTCATTTCTGTTATCTACATATAGTTCTGTTTCTTCTGGAATATTCTCCAACTTCAACTTATCGGTCCTGTGTTTGGCTTTCTTCGATCTTCCAACCAACATGGTGTTTCCTTTGATAGCAGTTGGATTGAGTCTATCAAAATTGAAGTTGGTGATTGCGAATGGGTCTATAACTTCATCTGTGTTGATATGTGAGTGTGAGGGATAATCGACAGGTCTATACATGTTGGTAGTGGTTCGTGGAGTGGATTTTCAAAGACGGTTGTATATTGTATTTACATGGGAAGAAGATTGAGGGTTGAGGAAGAAAATAGCCGCAACAAAACGATATCAACTTTGATATCAATGTTTTTATATTAAAGAGTAAATTATGCTTAATTTATGTCCAACAACGATAATCAATTATTTTAATGAAAAATATAATATATAAAAAAAGTCAAAAAACAACAATGATAATAATTCAAAGTACAAGAAGTGCTCGGAAAAGAGAAAAACAAGATACAAGACAAAAATAAAAAACAAATACCAAAAATAAGAGATTAAATAAAAGGGCAACCACAACTACTAAAGAACCACATCAGTACTCTCATGCTAGAGTTTAAACAGCAAGATCTATCATCATTGCTATAAAATGTATATGGCGTAATATGTTATTATCTCAACTAATCAATCAATTAAAGTAATAGTTCTTATTTAGGTGTCTATATTTTTTTACTAACGTATCAGTATAGTTAATAATAACAATTGTGATAATATGTTAAAAGCTTATAAGTTTCTAATCTCAACATCAACGTTTTTCTATATTTTTTATATAATGAATGGTGTGTCTATTAATTTTTATATTTATATAAAAATTATAAAAAAAATTTACTACGATTGTATTTGTCAACCTTGATGATATTTTACTTAGGGATGTTCAAAATCAAACCGGCCCAATAGAAAACCGCAAAACCAAATCAAACTAAATCGAAATTGTAAAAAACCGTATTTGGTTCGGATGTGTTTGAGTCATTTTCTCGTGGAACCGCACAGTTCGATTCGGTTTGCGGTTTGTATTTTACAAACCGAACCAAACCAAACAAAACCACATTATGTTATAAAATCTTACTAACCAATATATATTTTTTAATTCTTTAGAGAAATCAACATGTATTATGTGTATATTTTATCATACTTTGTATTATATTCATTTTAATTTAAAATCATAAAAAAATAAAACATTATTCATTTATAAATATTATTTTCACAAAATATATTTTATCGTATTCTTTGTATAATATTTATTTAAGAATTCAATCTTGTTTATATCATTCTTTAGATTTAGATAAAATTATAATACGCAATTTTATGTATCAAATTATAAACTTATTTTGACAATTGTAAATTTTTTTATGGTAATGTATGAACAATTAAACTTAAAATTATATTTTCCTCTATATTTGTATGTATGACTTAATAATTTTTTTTGTAAAAAACTGAACCAACCGAACCAATCCAAACCGCATTAGTTTGGTTTGGTTTGGTTCTAATTTATTTTTAAAATCCAACCGAACCGTATGTTTTTTTCTCTTGCGGTTCGGGTGATTTTTTGCTTCAAAACCGTCCAAACCGCACCGCGAACACCCCTAATTTCACCTAAAATTAATATATTTCACTACAGTTGGTCTTTTCAATTGTGTCAAAATACATTTTTTTAAAATTAAAACATATCTGATTTAGTTTATTTTCTTCAAAACACAAGCGCCCTAGCGAAAAACAGACGATAGTGATAGCGAAACAAACTTTCAAACTTCATCATCTTACCTCTCATTCATTTCTTGGTCACAACTTCTTCTTCAAACTTCTTGTTCTTAAAAGATGAAAGTGAGCGTTCACAAATGGCATTTCTTGGTCACAAAGGTGTTTCTTCAAACTTCCTGTTTTCACGGTAAGTTCTCTATTTTATCACCTTTATCACCATTCATGTTGAATCCTAGGTTTTGGTGTTGTTAAATGTTATATTATTGTGAATAAAAATTGATAACAAAACTATATTAATATGTAATGTGTATATGAACCTCTAGTATTGGTCGTACCTGATCAGAAGGGATTGTCAAGATCCACGAGCTCCAAGTCGAGCAGTGGTTGAATGTGAAGTGGGGGGGGAGGGGGGTACATGCAAGACACTATGATGCCAAAGTAAGGTTCAGAGTAAGTGCAAGTAAATGTGAGAGTATGGGTGAATGAATGAATACCTGACCTTCTCGAGTGAGAGGTATTGTAAGTATGAGAGTGCGCCTAAGAGGGGAAGGGGGGGGGTGAATTAGGTACTTTAAAAATTCTAGTTTTTAGTGATGATGATTCTTATTTTTCTGGTTATAAGCATGAGTTTACAATTGTGTTTCTTTCTTTTCTGGTTTATGATTAGTGATGAAAGCGGTAAATGCAGAAAAGTAAAGAACACGGAGATGTATCCTGGTTCCCCTCACAGTCCGAGAGTAATCCAGTCCCCTTTCAACATGAAAGAGATTTCATTATTGTTAGATCTCTAGACAAGACACCCTAGTCCTTCTATACAAGACTTTAACCAATAAAACCACCAAGAATAATCCTCTTGGACCAAGAACAATCCTCTTGGATTTTCACTAAGTTACCTATGAGAACAATCCTCTCAATGTAACTACACTTGTATCCAATAACTTTGGAAAGACAAGATTTCAACAAAAATACTTAAACTTAATTCCAACAATCCTGGAAAATAAGTAATTAAATATCAATTTGTGAGTTTGAGTGAGTAGAGTAATATTGATAACTTAGAGTGATTTAACAATGTATGATCTTCTTCTTCAAATAATAATATTGTACAAAGACTCAAGATATATTTGCTCAAAATTTTTTGTTTGTTAATGAATGAAAATGTGCAGAAAACTTATGCATGAAAATGAAGAATGCTTGAGTTTGTATTTTGAAATTTCAGAAAATATTTATGGAAGAAGGTGAAGGTATGGATTTGAAATTTAATATTTATATGTTCATAACACCCTTTTGAAACATCATGAAGTTCTGAAAATGTATCATGAACAAATGTCAATTTTGAGTGAAAAGATGTAATGAAAAGGCATGATGAAAAGGTATGAACAAAGCTGCTATTTTTCAAATTCGTGCAGTATGCAATCGATTGCACCCTTGGTGTAAATCGATTTCACAAGGTTTTTAACAGCTATTTTTTCAAAAACTTTAAGAGTGCAATTTTTGTACCCCAAAATTTGCCCTCCCATATTCTTCAAGATTTGCTAAGATCATGCTTCAAAATCTCTCAAGGGTTGCACAGTCCAATGGCCTCCTAACAGTCACAAATTAGGGTTTTGGTTCTGGCAAAGAAGTTGAAGTTTCCAAGGGTCCAAACAAGTCCCACATGCCTATAAGCATTGTCAAGCATCCATATGCCAAGTTTCAAGACTCACAGCATCAAATTGCACAGTCAAAAACCCTAATTGCTTCACAGTCAACTGCAGGGGCAAAATGGTCATTTGATAGTCAAAAGTCAAAATTTTTGGTCAACATCTTATTTTGTAGCCACAAACATCATTTGATCAATTCTTGATCATGATTCTCAAGGCATGGCTCAAAAAGTCTCAAGATGTAAAAGTTTCTATTTTTGGATAGTTGGAAAAGTCAACTGCAAATTGACCAAGGCATAACTTCCACATGGTTTATCAAAAAAATTCCATCCAAAGCTCATTTTGAAGAGAATGACATTTCCTACAACTCATCTTCACACTTCAAGTCCAAGAAATGCTCTCACAAAAAGTTATCAATCTCAACATTATAGGTCATTTTCAAAAGTCAACCAAAAGGCACTTTAAGTCAAAGACCATAACTTGAGATTGGTAAATTAAAATGACATGGGACCAAAGGAATTGGTTAAAGGACTTCAAGACCTTTCCAAAATGTCTAAGAACATGATCAAAGCTTAAAAATTGAGCAAGATATGCCTTGTGGAAGTTGGGAAAGTTTTGGGAATTTTGAAAAGTCAACTTTGCTTCAAATGCCTCAAAAATGCTAATGGGCCTCAATTTCTTCCATGAATCATTACCCAAAGGCCATGCACGACCCATTAAGCTAAAATGGAGTTATTTTCTTATTTTTAATTAATTAAACTGAATTTTTAATCCCATTAATTCATTTAATTAAAATTAATTATGAGAAAAATACTAAAGCATGTGTTTTGAATCTTTTTATGCAGCTAATATGTCCATTATGAGCTCAAGATTTCGTGCACATTCTAAAAGGAAAGAATCTTCCATGATTTGGCATAATTAGCATGAAAAAGATTGAAAAAAGATCATGAAAAATCAAATATTCAAAGTCATCAATGCATGGATTATGGGCTTGTTTTTCTTAACCTAATCATTCTCAGATACATATAGAAAAAAAAACCTAATGCATTAGGACACAGAAGCTGCGCCCAAGTCAAAGAACAAGATTGCATTTTTGACAAAAAAGTGGAAAACTGTTTTGATACCTAGAGCTTGTTTCAAAGATCAAAAAGCATTCCAATACAATCCTGACACTACCAGGAAGCTTTTTCAATCGAAACCAACCCTCCATACTCAAGGAATCGGTATAACAGAGTCTGACTTTTCTTGAAAATTTTCATAATCGTGTTTCATTATCCATGCGTTATTTGTGATTTTTAATCATTGATTTGGACTAACATGAGTGTTCTGAAGCTAATGGCATGCTTTGATTGAGTTATTAAGCCATGTACAAGAATTCACCATGGACGTTCCCTAGGGTTTCAGAGCTCCAATTTTAGGGGTTTCTGTATATGGTAAAATTAAGCCTTAAAACCAGTACCATTGAGATCAGGACCTCCAAACGAGTAGAATCCACACCTCGCGCCCTTTTTCTTTTTGACTATGCGCTAATCGCTATTATTGCAGGTTTGGGTTAGTGGGGGTTTAAAACCCCCGCTATTTACTTTTGTTTACAGGCGAAAAGATGAAGGAGATGCTGATGTGTCCAGACACGGTTGGAATATTCAAATGATGGCGCGTTTTTTGGTTATTCCAGCATAGTATTCGTTTTTCCATTATATTATTCATGTTCCACTATAATATCAAATAAACGCAATGGTTCAGTTGGTAGCTTAGCTGGCTTGCAGGTATTGGGACCTGGGTTCGATTCCCAGGTCCCCCATAATCTCAATGATTTTTGTCAAAACATGTTCCAGCGCTGCACTC